AGGAGCGTCGCGGAGCCCGGGGCTCCCCATGGAGCTCCAGCCTCAGCGCTGACGAATGGGCGGGGTGGGCCGCTGGAGCCGCAGTTGGGAGCCTGCGGGCGCGTCCCGCGGACTACAAATCCCACAAGGCTATGCGGCTGGGTACCCCCCCCACCCCCCCCCCCCTCATTGGGCATCGTCAGCCGGGAAAGGACCCCACCTCGCATGTTGCCACAAATTCAGCCCACACAGCCCCTGGAAAACCATCAATAGACATTTATTTGATACAGTCATTTTTAATACATACAGTTGATGGCCCGCCCGTGCCACTCAGGGCCTGGGGGCGGGGACGAGGACCGGGACAGACGGTCACGAGGTGAGCAGGGCCCGAGCTCGCCGCCGTCAAAACATCTTGCAAATAAACACTTTGTAGATAGAATATGTGTATATATATGGTTACAAGGGATAGTTGGAACCTCTCTTTCAAAATGCACTTATGTACGGAGAACTGGCATTAAAAAAAACAAACCAAGAAACCCAAAGTAAGGACGCGTGTCCGCCAGGCGGGAAGAACTGGCCGGCCCCCTTGAACCTCAGTTCCGGGACTAGCCTCCTGAGGCCGCAGAGCGAGGACTCGCGGGGACAGCCCTGCCTCCCGCAGGTCAGGGTGCACCGGTCCTTTCCCTTCTGAACCAGAGGAACAGGGGGGCGGGGGGCAGGCTACAGCTGAGGGCCACCAGTCACATCAGGAGACACCCTCATCCATCTGCCTTTGCACAAGCAAATAAAGTGCATCCTATTTTTGTGTGAAGTGTCAGCCCTTTCCTGTTCTCAGGGCAAAAGGGTGGGCAGGGCCAGAGGTAGATCTTCAGAAAGGGACCCGGCATTGTGCCCTGGGCTGGGTCTCGGGCATAGTCCGTGCCTACTGCACCCTGGAGTCTGCCACTCTGGACCCTCTCGCTGAAGGTGTCAGCCAAGGCCAGGTTACCTGGCCGTGTTCCTGCCAGAGTGGAGGTGGGCAGATCCTGCTGAGCCCCCAGGGCTCTGCCCTGCACTCAACCACCAGAACTGGGGTGTAGGGAGCTGGGTCCAACCCACCCGCCGCTTTGGCAGCAGCCCCCACACCCTTTAGAGACAAAAAAGGGGTTAAAGTGCTAAACATCAAGTTATCCAAGACCCCACCTCTTCCCACACATCTGGGCAGGGGTCCCACTCCAGGGGCCATCTGTGGACTTTGGAGGGTGACCTGGAAACACCCCCCAGCAAAAACCAGCCCCTCACACCCCAAGGGCCAAGTACCTGAGAGGCTGGGGCAGGCGGCTGTCCCCAGTAGAGGTGCTGAGGTCCAACCTCCTCCAGCCATTGGTGACAAGGGCAAAGAAAGTGTACCTGGGGCTCCTGTCAGCGCCTGCTTCCCCTCCCCTCCTGAGGCTGCCCCTGCAGTGGCTGCCTGACCCACCTCCACCGGCTCCACACCACAGTGACACCCAGAGCCCAGCCCCTGTGCCCACCTTGACTGACACTGGGTCACTCCCATGTGCCATGTGTGCGGGTAGGAAGAATCCACATCTCTACATCCCCTCCCTACACCACCAGGCCAGGCTGCCCAGGGTCAGAGCTCTGGACAAAGAATCCAGAGACAGGCAGCACAGTGACCTGGCCCCCAGCCCCTGGGAATCTGTCCCCCTACTGCAGGGCGAGGAGAGCCCAGACCAGCTTGGAGCCCCTCCTCTCCAGGGCTGGGTGAGGATGGCAGCTTGAGGCAGAAGGGTGCCCAGTCAGTACTGCCTCCCTGAGCAGAGGAGGGACCCCAGGGACCCTAGCCCAGTCCCCAGATCCACCATTGGCACCAGGAGACCCTTAGCACCAAAATGTCAGATTGTTGTAAGTTTTTGTATAAAAAACAGAATAAAAAAAGGTTGTTACTTGTCACAGCCACAAGACTGGCATCCACTACACACCCAGGAGAAACAAGCACACAGGAAAGTATCAAAATTCACATCGTCCAGGATCGGCAAGGCCGAGCCCTCAGCCCACCCCCGCCCCCTATGGAAAATAGCCTCCATCCAAACCCAGTGACTCTGAGTGTCCTCCTCCCCAGGCCACGCCACAGCTGGAAGGCGGGGCCCAGGGAGGAGGCCAGAGGTGTGGACCCACTCCTCCAGGTGCCCTGGACTCCAGCCTGAACCCTGCCCAACCTGCAGGCCTAGCTGTCCTCAAGGTCCCAAAGGGAGCCAAGGCAGCCCGAGCTCCCATCAACCTACTGTGACCTCAGCGAGCCCCTCCCTGGCCTTCAGCTCTCACATCAAAATACCACGCAACCAGAAACAAAGGGGCAGGTAAAAACAAAGGGTGGGGTGTTCCCACAGGAGCCTGGCCACAGGCCAGGCCAGACCAGCAGACAGGCTGCTTCCTGCAGTGCTCACTCCGCAGAGCTGGGCTCAGTTCCCTCCCCGACATGCCCACGGCCCCAGGGCCCAGACTGGGCTATCCCTAACCTATCAGGCTATCCCAGCCAGGCCCACAGTGACGGCCAAGCTAGAGCGTGCTCAGAGCGTGCTCCTCGTGGCCCCAGCTCCTGCTGCCCTGCAAGCGGAAAACCAGAGGCCCTCCCTTGCCCCAAGCAGGGAGTACCGCTGGGGGTGGCAGAGAGCCCGTTGGCGGGGCCACTTTCTCCCCACCAGGATGGACACAAGCCAGTGGGTCGGGGCCCAAGCACAGCAGGGGTCACACCGGCAGGGAGGGTGGGCCTGGAGAGGTAGAGAACAGAAGCTGAGGAACCAGAGGCGGGAAGGGTGAAGGGGACGGACCACCAGGTCAGCACGGCAGCGATCAGACTCAGGGTCTGTCCAGGGAGGTAGCTGGGGGTGCTGGGGTTCCAGTGTTGGGTAGAGAGGCGAGGCTGCTGAGGTACCTTCATCAGCCCAGAAGCAGGGACCCCCGAGCCTTGGGCCTGAGGAAGCAGGTGGGGCACGCAGCGCTCATGGCCGGGGCCAAAAGGCATCTGGCCACTCTGCACCACCCCCATGGCACCGAGGCCCAGGCTGCAGACCCTCCCTCTACCCCTCCAGGCTCTGCCAGGCCTGTGAATGTCCCTCCAGGCGACTGCACTTCTGTGACTGCCACTGGCCCTTCTCAGGGAGCCCCAGCCCAGGTGTGCCTGCAGCAACCTGCAAGGGGAAGGGCCACCTTCAAGGAGCAGAGCAGGGCTGGCTGCCCCACTGGACAAAGGGGTAGGCAGGGATGGGGGTGGGGAAGTGGAGGGCAGGGTATCCCAGAGCTAGCTACCCCACTCTGGACAGAGGAGGGCTTGGCCAGCGTGGGGGCAGGCCCTGCCAGCCACCATGCTCACTTCTCGGGTGAATTGCTGGCTCCCACCTTCCGGCCAGTGGAGTCCTGGGCCCCCTTGTCTCTGCCTCCTGGGGGCCAGTCCTCCTGGCGGGGGGCCATCTTGGGTGCAGGCTCCTCAGGGAGCCGCTCCTTGGGCCTGCGGCCCCGCTTCTTCCCGCCTGCCAGACTCTTCTCCTTCTTGGGTACCAGTGATCCCTGGCTCCTGTGTTTGGGAGGCGAGTCTGCCGAAGTGCGGAACCAGTTCTGGGGAGAGACAAACAGCCACAGAGGCCCGGACAGAGGGCGCTGAGCCTCTCAACCTCGGGAGCTGAAGCCACTTGGGAGAGAAGCACGAGAAGCGCCAGGTTTTTCCATGTTGGCCTCTCACTCAAACGTCACCCCCCCCCCCCGCCGCCCAGTCCGTCCAGGCACAGGCCCCGGCCCCTGGCACAGGCTGTGCCACCCACCTCTGCATGGGCCTTGAGGATGTGGTACTTGACGCCACTCTCAGAGCTGAACTCCTTCGGACACAGCAGACAGCGGTACTTTTCCACCAGGTGGTCTCCCTGCAAGACACGGGCAGCTCAGCCCCAGGTGTTGGACGGGACTTCCCCACCTGCAGTTACAGGGAAGGTGGCCCTGGCTTATCTAGACAGGTCAGCATGCCCCTTGGTACCCACGGGAGGAGCCCATGGGCGGAACAACTTGAGACTGACTGACTCATGTCTGTGGCTGGGGGATGGCAAAGGTCACGGAGCACCGGCTGGTCCCTGGGCTCATGGAAGAGGCTGCCCAAAAGGCAAGGGCGCATGTCCCACGTGTGGGTCCCGGGGGCACTGCTGAGCACCTGTCCACATGGTGGACAGCCTGGGACTCACCTTGCTGCAGCTGGCGAGGTGGGCCTTGAGGCCGGACACACTGGAGTAGATGGCTTCACAGCACTGGGCAGGAGACAATCATGGGGAGGACCTCCCGGCAGCGCCCCCACACAAATCATAGCTCCTACCCCATGGAGACTTGTGGGCAGGCTGGGCCTCTGGGGCTGAGGTCGAGGCCTCTCTGCCAACAGGGTTCTGTCTGAGCACCCTGCAGAGGCCCAGGGACCACAGGTAGGCTGGCCACTTGGAAGGCTGCCACCCAGGGCCATACCTGGGCTCTCTGTCCCTAAGTCCCCATTGCCCACCCACCAGCCTGCCCCAGCTCACGTCATTGGGACAGTTGACGTGGCCTTTCTCCTTGACTTCGTTCTTCCAGGTCTCCAGCAGCTGGGGGTTGAGTGTGGGGAGGCCTGGCCGAGTGTAGTTGAGCTGTGAAAACAGGCAGGCACTGGGGTGAGCCCCGGCAGCTGGGCCAGAGCTGACAGCGACACTCCCACTGCTCTAAAGAGGCCCTCAATTGTACCCTCCATAGGGAGATCTGAACCTTGGAGGTCAGCCGCTGGCCCAGGTCACAGGGGGCAGGGCCATCACAGGGGACCCCACGTGGAGGCACATCCTGCTCAGAGCCCAGGTGGCTCACCCGAGCCGTCTCAGGCACCAGGTCATCTTTCATCCGCCTCTTGGTCCAATCTCGGGCCAGTTCGTCCTCTGCAATCTCCTGCAGGTGGAACACGGCAACCTGGGCCGACGTGCGGCGGATGCGGCCGCTGGGGGTCCGCTCGATACCCAACAGGTCCTCGGCCTCAGGGGGCTTGTCCTGGGGCTCCTCGGGGGGCTGCAGGGTGAGGAGGCCAAGGTGAGTAACAGGAGCCACATGGCCTGAAGGTGCAGTGAACCAGACATGTGCTGTGGGCAGGGGCACATGAGCAAGGGGGAGGGGGGACATGCATACTCGCTGCCTGAAGGACAGGCAGACTGGCCACTCACCGGGGCTGTGTGCTCCGAGCGCATGTGGTAGTCATGACCAGCCTTGGAGCGGTAGGTCTTGCCGCAGTGGGTACAGGGGAAGGAGGGACTGTCTACCTCGCAGGGCGGCTTCCCACAGCGCTGCTGGTGGTACTGGTAGCCCATGAGGCTGGAAAAGGCGGCCCCACAGCCCTGGGGGTCACGGGTCAGTAAGAGGCCAGCGAAGGGCTGTGCCTCGCCCCACCCTGTCCCCCCTGTCGTCCCACTGACCTCCTGGGGGCAACGCAGCCTCCCCATCTGCTTCAGCACCTTGCGCAGTCGTTCGCGCTCCTCCTGCTCACTCCCCTCGGAGGCCTCCGTGTCAGAGGGCTGGGGGGCAGGCCCAGCCTCAGTGCCTCATCCCCATAGGGCCCCTGCCCCAAATTGGAGCCACAGATGTTCATGGGCAGGCAGTGTGGGAATGAAAGGACAGTGGGCAGGGCTGGGCAGGGTGGGTGAGATGAAGGGGAGGCCTGTGGTCAGTGTCAGTGGGCAGGCTGGTGGCAGCTGGGCCCTGTGGTGTACCTTGGCGCTGTGCTCAGCCATGGTGTGGTAGTTGAGACCGGCCTTGGACTTGAACTGCTTCCGGCAGTGCTGGCACTTGAGGGCATCCTGCAGCTGCAGACCAGGGACCCATGAGCAGCTGCTCTGGGGCACCTCCCCCCAGAAGCCCCTGGGGCAGCCTTACCTTCTGACACACCTCCATGTGCTTCTTGAGCCCCACGAGGGTCTTCCGGGTGACCACGTTGCACGTGGGGCAGACGGCCTCCCCCCGTTCATGAATGGCCCGCTGCCACTGTTCCTCAGGGCCACCTGTGGGGCAGAGCCAGGGCCTCAGGGGCTGTCTCGGGCTCCCAGATGCCCTGAACGCCAAGCACAGAGCCCAGGGTCCACACTCAGGCCCCGTCTGTGTGGTCCAGTAACCACCTCACAGTCAAGATCCAGCCTGTGCCCCCTACACAGCAGCCCCCACCTGGGGTTGAGTGGGCCACGGGGGCCGGCGCCTCCTTGCTGACAGTGTTGGCGGGGGCCGGCGCCTTCTTTCGGACATCCTCGGGGCCAGGCCCCTCCTGCTTCTTGGCACGGTAGCCTCGGGACTTGTCTTCTGCCTTGGCCAGGCCTGTGTGCACATGTGTGGGGTGGCGCAGGTGTGGGCCAAGGGCCTGAGCACACCTGTGCATGAACCCAGTCCCACCGGTGCCCAGCTGACTGGGGCCTCACCTTTGAGTCCGAAGGTTCCTGAGATGGATGGCTGCTCCCCCGTGAACTTCTTGGGTGTTTTCTGTTTCCTTCCTGACTCAGGGGAGAGAAACGAGGGCCAAGATCTGGTCAAATAACCATCGGGAGGCTGGCCACTGCCCGTCCTGGCTGTTGCCACAACCCCCCGCCCCGTCTTACTGTGCTTCATGCGCTCAGCTCCCTCTTCAGGCAGGGACACAGGGCCTGTGGCCCTTGGCACCTCCTTGCCCCCCAAGGGCCTGCTGCCTAGAGAAAGGGGGCCACTGCTGGGGTCTGTGCTGGGCTGGAGAGCTGAGCCCTGGCCTGTGGTGGGTGGGCCACACTCCCCGCTCTCTGACCGCGCCTGCTTGGGTGGGAGGGGGCAGGCGTCCCGGCTGTCCGCAGCCCTGTAGTGAGGGAGGTACGGAGCAGGAGGCAGGGGGATCAGGGGCTCGCTGCGGGCCATCACCCCAGGCTGCAGCCGGCGAGCACCCCCCCCCATCTGGAAGGCACCCCCATACCTTTTTTTCCCACTGGCCCTCCCCGTGGCCCGAGGAGTTTTGTTCTCAGACTTGGTCAGCAGCACCATTTTGCAGGACGGTGTGTGTCTGCTGATGGCCATGGGCCTGCTGACTGTCACCAGCTTACTGACCACAATGGGCCTACTGACTGTCACGGCCTTTGTGACTGGCACAGGTTTCGTAACTGTCACAAGTTTTGTCATCGGCACCGGCTTGTTTGTGGTCACTGGTTTGGTGACTGGCACTGGCTTGCTGACTGGCACTGCCTTGGTGACGGGCACAGACTTGGTGACTGGTATGGGCTTGGTGACCGGCACAGGTCTAGTGACCGGCACAGCCTTGGTGATCGGCACGGACCTGCTGACCGTCACTGATTTGGTGACCGGCACAGGCCTGCTGACCGGCACTGGTTTGGTGACTGGCACAGGCCTGCTGACCGGCACTGGTTTGGTGACCGGCACAGGCCTGCTGACCGGCACTGGTTTGGTGACCGGCACAGGCCTGCTGATTGTCACTGGTTTGGTGACCGGCACAGGCCTGCTGATTGTCACTGGTTTGGTGACCGGCACAGGCCTGCTGACCGTCACTGGCTTGCTGATACCGATGGGTTTGCTGACACCCACAGGCTTGCCAATAGTGACAGGTTTGCTCACTCCAATGGGCTTGCTGACCCCAACGGGCCGACTAATGGTGACTGGCCGGCTGACTGGCCCAGGCTTGGGGGCAGACAGGGGTCGGTCCATGTGGTTCCAAATCCGGTGCTTCTCCAGCTGGGTCTTGGAGGTGAAGGCGGCCTCACAGAAGGGGCAGGGAAAGGTCAGCCTTTCTGAGATGGCACCCTGGGTAGAGAGGGCAGGCGTGGCATGGGCTGCCCAGGTCTCTGTGCAGACACACCCGAGCCAGCAGCTGGGCAGGGTGGGTTCAGGCCTCCTCTTCCCCAGCCCACAGCCCCTTACCCCTTGGCACCGCTGGTAATGGTACTTGAGCCCGTAGATGCTGGGGAACTCCAGCCAGCACCCTGAGCTGGGACACTTCACCCGTGAGTGCACCTTGAATTCGTCTTTCCACTGGGTCATCAGAGAGAGCTGGCATGGGAAAGGCCAGGCTGCTGACCCTCAGCCAACCGGCCTTTGCTGACCCGAGCCCCAGACTCAGCACCCTGCCCAGGCCTGCAGGGCAGACAGACTGTAGGAGCCCTTGACCTTGGGACCGCAGCAAGATCCAGGCCACCCTGAGCAGTGAGGGTGCTCTTGAGGGCCCACGAACATGGTCCATTGGGCCCCAGGCCACGCCACGAATCCCTAGGCACAGAGTGGCCCACTGATGTGGGCTGAGGGCTTGGTGCTGGACATGTGGATGGCAAGCAAAGGCAGGGCAATGGCCTTACAGGCAGACCCCAGCATGAGCCCCACCCAGCCCTCAGGGAGCTCACGGGAATGTCTCGGAGGGCCTGGTTCTCAGCTTTCGGACGCCCCTTTTTCTTCCCTTCTGTCCTGTCGCTGGCTGGACTTCCCGGGTCAAAGCAGAGTGGGGCCTGGCTAGGCATTGTCTGCCCACCCCGGGCCACCGGCAACCCTGCAGCACACGGCACATCAAGGCTTGGAGCTGTGCTCCCTGTAGTCTTTCCTGCTATCCAGGAGCCTGGTGAGGCCTGGAGTGAGCCTCATTCCCCCCCCTGATGAGGCATGGGGTTGGGGATGGAAGGCTGTAGTCAGCCTAGGACAAGAATCCAGGGCCCCTGGCTGCCCCCACCCTGGGAAGGCTCTCAGGAGCCCAGGCAGCTACCTGGCACCCAGGAGCTGGACATTCGGGAGGTGGCCCACTCAGCACTGCTGCTCCCAACAGCTTGGAGTTGACCTTAGCCTGACCCCTCTTACCCAGCTTTGGATCATGCCGCACAGGAAGTCGGACCTCATTCTGGCTGCCATCCTTCCCAGGCCCACTCTTGCTGGACCCCAGGAGCCGGCGGCCGCCTCCAACACAGAAAGGATCAGTCATTGCTGCAGAGCAAGTGGACAGACCTGTGAGGTCCATCAGGGCCGGCTCTCGGGACTTGAAATGGCTGTCCTTGCACCCCACCCCCAGACAGACCTGCTCATTGGCTGCAGAAAAGGGAGCCAGCCTGCCTGTGCTCTTGGTCACAGGGAAAGCAGGTGATGGGGGGCTTCTAGTTTAGGGGAGTGACTGCCCAGCTGAGCTCTCCCCAGGAGACCCCATCAGCTTGGAAGGATCTGACCCTGTCCTGAGACCCTCATCAGGTCCAATGGCTCCATGCGTCCTAGACACAGTGCAGAGGTGCCGAGAGCCACGCACCTCACGCCCGGCACGGGGCTGGGTGGCCCCAGGAGAGGGAGAGTGCTCAGGCAGGAGATTAACAGCATCGCTCCTGGGGCCAATTATGACACCACATGGCTGCTGGCACTCAGGCTGTGTTGGCCGGGCACCCTGGGACACCTTCCTTCACAGCCCCACCCAGCCCCAAGGCAATGCCACCCTACCCAGGCAGGTGCCCCTGGATCGTTCTCCCAGGACACAGATGGAAGATGGCCAATGCGGGCACTGAGGACCCCTAACCCCTCCCCAACTGCATGCGGCCCTTTCCAGAGGCAGGACCAAGGAAGGAGGTCCCTGTCCTAGTGGATCCTTCCTATGTGACCCTCTCTCTGTTTGTTCCTGCTGGGGCCCCTCCACCCCGAGAGAGGCCACATGCAGGCTGGGCTCCTCGGCCATCCTCCACCTGGCTGTCCTCACTTCCACCCTCTGGAACCTCTCTGTCCCCATCTACAGGGCCACCAGCACCACTGCAGAGACTACTGGCCACCAGCCACAGGGAACACCTCGCCACGTGAGCTGGGCCTGCATGGGCATGAGAACTGGAGGGACTCTGAGCTCAGTCCTACTGGGTCCTCTAACAGGGACACCCAAGGCTGCAGAAGAGGGTGGGTAGGGGGCGATGTGAACAAGTGACTCCACATGTCCTGGCAGTTTCTAACTAACTGAGATCAGAGAGGATGGGAAGGGAATTACAGAAGCTATCAGTAAGGTTGAGGTCAGAGGTCAGTACAGTCACTGCCCATTGCCCAGGAGGTGCCCAGATCCTGGGCCTGGAGAGAGGTATAGGTCTAGAAAGGTCTGAACAAACTTCTCTGAAAGGCCTCACGCTGCCACTTCCACAGGAGACCTGCCACCATCAGCCACCCAAGCCCCATGATGACCTCAAGTGGCGTTGGTGCAGATGCCTGCTGGGACCCCCCTCCCAGTCTTTATCCAGCTTGAGAGGAAAATTCAAAGTTGGGGGGCCTGGGGCCAGGGCTGGCGTAGGAGGCAGAGACCCTCCTTCCATCCAGGCCTGCAACTCTCACAACAGGAGAAAGGGCTTCCACCCTCCGGGAGGGCCCAGCAGGGACGGAAAGGTGGGACCTTCGCTGGGCTGTGGGGGCACCACGCGCTGACCACAGGCAGCCAGCCAGGCAACGGCAAGGCCTCTCGGCCCTGGACCCCAGCTCCGGCCCCCGCGCGCCTAAGAGGCTGGCCAGGGGATGCACACCTGGCGGCTGGCCTCGCGGCACACCTGTCACCTGCGCGGGGAGGGCCGGGCCTGGCCCCGGAAGGGCCGATCGCGGGCGCCTGGGGAGGGGGGAGGGCAGTGAACCAAAATGGCGACTTTTTCTGAGGAAGGAGGAGCAGGGAAAAGGCCGGCTCGTTCGGCC